CAGCTGGGATGATTAAACCCTTCTTATTCCCTTTGTCTGGGGCAAGCAGCAGAGGTCCATGATCTTGGCTGTAATTTCTTAGGCCAGTAAACCCTAAACCCTAAAGCCTACACCGGCAAGAGACCCCAAACCCCGCACCATGAAGGTCGTTTGGGTGTTTTTTCGGGTCCCTGCCCTCTGCCAATCTGATTCCTGGACCAGGAGGGCCCTGAAAGGGTCTAAACCCTAAACCCTAAACCCTAAACCCTAAACCCTAAACCCTAAACCCTAAACCCTAAACCCTAAACCCTAAACCCTAAACCCTAAACCCTAAGCCCGAACAGAACGCAAGATCAGCCATGAGGGGCATTCTCGCTGTCGCTCCTGGCCTCGCGCAGCAAGCTGCAGAGCCCGGGCTTAGGGTTTAGGGTTTAGGGTTTGATGTTCATGGGGTTTGGCGTTTGTAATTAGGGCTATGGGTTCAGGGCTTAGGGCTTATAGGGTTTATAGAGGATCAGGGTTTATAGAGTTTAGGCTTCAGGAGGATAGGGTTTGGGATTTAGGTTTATGAGGTTTAGGGAGTTGGTGTTTGGGTTTGGGGTTTGCACACGGTTTTAGCGCCTGAGGTTTGGGGTTGTAGAGGTTGCAGAGTTAGGTTTACAGCAGGGGCTGAGGTCTTAAAATTATGTATTGTTGCGTTTGGCGTATTGGGCTTGGATTTAGTCTTAGTGCTCTACATGGAAGGGTTTAGGGTTCAGTTTAGGGTTTAGGGTTAGGGTTGCTTCTTCTTCGTTTTGGCACGGTGAGATGGAGTGGATGGAGCCTGAACGCAGCGCCTCCAAGCCCCTTCAGCCCGCTATGGCAAATTTCCCCTTTAGGGCTGCAGGGCTCCAAAAAGAAACGTGGACCATAAGCCCCCAAAGCCCCAAAGCCATAAACTGCTAGGACCCCAAATCCCCCAAACTCTACAAGCTAGCTACAAGCTCTAAGCCCCAAAACCTACAAGTCCTAGTAAACCCCAAAACCCAAAACCCCGAACCCAAAACCCTAAACCCCAAACCCTAAACCCTAAACCCTAAACCCTAAACCTACCCCGATCCCAAGGATGCTCGGGCTTCGCAACTGCTCCCTCAAGGCCCGGCTTTTCGCGTCCGTTTCAGACATAGGGTTTAGGGCTTAGGGCTTAGGGCTTAGGGTTTAGGGTTTAGGGTTTAGGGTTTAGGGTTTAGGGTTCCCGAAGCCCTAAACCCTCAAAACACCCCAAAGCCAAACCCGCGGCTTCTACCCACCAAGCCGCAACCCCCTGCACCCACCGACACCGCAAGCCTGAAATCATGAAGTCCGCCGAACGTCCTTCAAAAAGGGGCCCGGGGGCCCCAAGAACGTCAGACCTCAGGTTCTATATGACCCTTCAACAGCGCACCCGAAGCCCTCAACCCCAAGAAGCTCCCCGCCCCCACACACGAACCCCAACCCTCCCCAAGCCTTGAAAACATCTTTAGACCCCCGTCTAATCCATAAACGACAAGCCCCAAGCCCTAAACCTTTAACATCAAAGGTCCCCACACCCTAATCCCCAAACACTAAACAACCCCTTGAGAAACAATATCCCCAAACCCTAAACACTAAACCCTAAACCCTGCAAATCGGAGGATGAGGGCCTCCTCGGCTTCCTTGAGCATCTGTGCCGGTGCGAGCTGCAGGTGCCTGACCGGCTGGGGCAAGCAGGGTTAGGGTTTAGGGTCTAGGGTTTAGGGTTTAGGGTTTAGGGTAATTATGGGGTTTAGGGTTTAGGGTTTAGGGTTTAGGGTTTAGGGTTTGGCTTTAGGGTTTAGGGTTTAGTGTAACCCTAAGGTTAAAATAGGCCATGGACCTGGAGAAGAACAAGCTGACGGATGCGGCGGCGCATGCGCTCACCGACCACCTGGTGGCTTCGCCGGAAGCCTCCGTGCGCTCCCCGGTCTTCCTATCAGCCCTAAACCCTTAGCCCTAAACCCTAAACCCCTAAACCCCAAGCCCCAAATCCTAAACCCTAAATCCCTTAAACCCTGAAGGTTTAGGGTTCTGAGTTTGGGTGTAGGGGTTTAGGGCTTGGGGTGCAGCATCCGGACGCTCACAGCCAAAACCAGATCCAGCCAAGCAAGAGATCTGCACTCGAAGAAGGCCTCATATGGAAGATTTGGGGTCTAACAGCCAATGCGGTTTAGGGTTTAGGGTTTCGGGTTTCGGGTTTCGGGTTTAAGGGACTCCATGTAGGCCTCAGGACTCCGTCTCATCGTCCAGGTCCATCGTCCAGGATCGTGTTGAGAGACATCCCCACGCTCTTCGCCGGGCGTTTGTCGGAACAACAAACTCCCTAAACCCTAAACCCTAAACCCTAAACCCTAAACCCTAGCCCTAAACCCTAGACCCTAAACCCTAAACCCGAGGCAGGGCACACATGAAATGGTTGCGCCGACTCACAGGTGCATCAACGGGTCCGTGGCGACAAGGATTACAGGGCCCAGCACGGTTTGCATGGTTCGGGGGTTCAATTCAGGGTTTCGGGTGTAGGGGTGTAAGGTTTAGGGTTTACGGTAATTCTTAGTAGCTGAGTGAGTACACTTTACACTTTTTGGGATACCATGATCCCCTATAGAACTGAAAGTGTACACTGTTTTGGGGGCCGATGAACTCAGCAACTATGAATTAGGGTTTAGGGTTTAGGGTTTAGGGTTTAGGGTTTAGGGTTTAGGCTCCCACATCATGGAGCCCTTCTGCTGCCTGAGGTCTTGCCTCATCTGACTTCGCTGAGCCTCCGAAGCTGCAGCATCACCGACCCTCGAGCTGCCCCAGAAGTTGTGTTTTTTCCTCGTTTTGCTAGGATCTATAGTGCAGGCCCTGATTACCTTTCTTAGGGTTTAGGGTTTAGGGTTTAGGGTTTGGGGTTTAGGGTTTAGGGTTTAGGGTTTAGGGTTTAGGGTTTAGGGTTTAGGCCCTGATTACCTTTCTTAGGGTTTAGGCTGCGTTCTAAACTCCTTTGAACCAAAAAGGACCACCCTTTTCAATTCCTAGGCCACTCTTGGGTTGAGTTTGTGAATCCGGGTATTGAGCTTTGATGTATCAACCATGTAGGGCTCTAAGAACCCGAACTCTGAGGCAGGTTTAGGGTTTAGGGTTTAGGGTTTAGGGTTTAGGGTTTAGGGTTTAGGGTTTAGGGTTTAGGGTTTAGGGTTTAGGGTTTAGGGTTTAGGGTTTAGGGTTTAGGGTTTAGGGTTTAGGGTTTAGGGCGCTATATCCTTTTAAGCCTCATCACCCGGTGATCCCCAGCTTAAGCCGACTTTCAACCGCCTGAATTGAAACCTGAACCCTGCACAAGCTCCAATTAGGTCTTAGAACCTCTGGAACAAAATTTACGACAACCTCAATCTGGGGTTTTTAGGGTCGACATTGCAAGGATGAGGGGGCATCGCCCTTAATCCGCGTGACACGGCTGCATGTACAAGGAGCTTGGGTTTCGTGTGTTCGCAACCTGTCGACTCACTCGCTCACTCATGCGGTTTGGGATTTCGGGTTTAGGGTGTAGTTTAGGGGTTTAATTCGCCAACCCCAGTGACTACCTCGCCTGCCTCAGTGGCCTTGCGCGCTCACTCACCAGCTCACTCAATGAACTATGCACTGTTTTTCCTCGCCCATTCGGCTTTGTCAACTGTCGGAGATCTTTAAAGTTGGTTCTTCATGCAGTCTGAAGAGTAATCTTTAGGGAAGTTATGCTGAGACGCGTGCGGCCTTCTACTACCCGCCTAAGCCCTAAACCCTCAATCTCAACCCCAACCCCGAAATTCTAGATCCTGGCCCGAAAAAGTCCTAAACCCTAAACCCTAAAGCCCAAACCCCAAACCCTTAACCCTAAACCCTAAACCCTAAACCTTTGGCATTCAGAGGCTTGCTTCCAGAGGCGCTGGCGGCTGCCACCTGCCCTGGCAGCGGGCGGGGGGTAAACTTCCCTAAGCCCCGGCCCCGAAACCCTCAAGTTTAGGGTTTAGGGTTTAGGGTTTAGGGTTAGGGCTTGAAGCCTCAACCCTCATCCTTCTCGCTGGAGATGGACCTTCAGGTGTTTAGGGTTTAGGGTGTAGGGCTTCGGCTGGAAGCCTTCGAGGGTGCCCAGCGGGAACTGTTTGTTAAGAGCCTTATGGCTTCGGGTTCAGGGTTTAGGTTCCCTTATTATCAGCCCAAGAAGCGCTGTTAAACAGGTGCCCTTGTTCTTGTACTGCACTACACAGAAGAGCAGAGAGAGAGCGGGTTTTCCAGTCGCCCTAAAGCCGAAAGCCCAAACCCTAAACCCTAAACGCTTGAAATCAAACCCCCACCGGCCCTATTGTTCACGGGTTCAGCTTTGCGGTTTAACGCAGCTGTGCGTGTTGGTTTTGGCTGTGCTGCATGTGGGCATGTGGTGGGTGGCGATCATCGCTTGGTTTTTCAGACAAGTTGGTGTAGCAAGCATGAAGCTTCCATTGGGGAACTGCTTACGAATGATGGGGTTTGTCCGGGAGTGTGCCTTTCTAAATGACAGGCCAAGTCTTTGCGTAGTTGTGTGTGCATGCCCATGTTTATATGGCTTCTAGGTGCACTTCATTATTACAAATGGCAGATGCTGATGGCAGGGTACAGTGCCATGGTTGGCGGGATAAACCCCTAAAGCCTACTTTGGGGCAGCTTGGCTCAGCAGTCATAGGATTATGACTCAAGGGCCCCCCCCCCCCCTCCTAGAGGGTTTAGGGTTTAGGGTTTAGGGGACAGTCACCAGAATAGTTCTTGTTGAGACTTTTTATTGGGGCTTTCCCATACAGCCCCCTGTATAAATCTTGTCTGACTCACGTTGTCCTGGAACCTTGTAAAGCTGCAAGCCCAACCCTAAACCCTAAACCCTAAACCCTAAACCCCTAACCCCTAAACCCTAACCCCTAAACCCTAAACCCTAGACCCTACCAGCTTCCATGCTGAGGTTAGACCTGGGGAAGAACTGGGTGTCAGATCTCTCCATGCGAACGTTGGCCGAGCTCATGGAGGGGCCCAGCCAGCCAGGACGAAGTTCGGAAAGCCATGAACTTGCCATTCCCTAAACCCGGTTACTAACCCTAAACCCTGAAACCTAAACCCTAAACCCTAAACCCTAAACCCTAAACCCTAAACCAGAAGGTCTGGCGGGTTCCCAGATTATGCTCCTTCAAGTTGCCATGACACGACGTCCAAAACAGACAAGAGCAAGGACCCATAGGGTTTGGGGTTTAGGGTTTAGGGTTTAGGGACCCTAGACCCTGGGTTTAGGGTTTAGGGCTGAGGGTTGTCTTGTCATCCTCTTTTCGGTCTAACCCTGCGCCCGCACTCCCATATAGTACCATGCGGTTGGTGGTTGCTTGCTTTTTTCGGGAAGTAATGGGTGTTTAGGGTTTAGGGCTTAGGGTGTAGGGTTTAGGGTTGAGGGTTTAGGGTTGAGGGTTTCGCAGCTGGAAGTCGGGAATGAGCTACTTGATTTTCCTTCAAGTTGCCCTTGAAGGCATAAACAGTGCACCTTAAACCCTAAACTCTCTCTTCCCTAGTAAGAACCCACAGGGTTACATGGTGGCAGGACCTTCCAACGACTTCGGCGAGATACTGCTTGGCACCAATGATGTACTCAGGCTGCTCAGTATGTTTCTGTGGGGTTTACTGCCTGGCACCGATGACGTATTCAGGCTGCTCATCGTGTCTTTTCGGGTTTAGTGCTTAGGGTTTTGTGTTGAGCTTCGCACCAGTGGGTTTAGGATTCGAAGGTGAAAGGCTTGGGCATGCATGGTGCCATCAGTTGCGACGTGGTTTTCGGCCAGCTTTGGTGCATTTTGGCATCCCGAAGCCTTGGACACTAAGCCCTAAAACTTCAAGTATGGACTGACCCAAGGCGATCCCCCGCACCGGGGCGCCAGAAAGGGGCCCCTCACGCCACACGTGTGGCACAATCACTTCTGGATGTCATGCGGCACGTCAGTCTCTGCTGCGATTTTCGCGGGGGCCCAGTCTCTCACTTGGACCTAGACCCCAACAGGGACACGAAAATCCGCACTTTCCAGGCCGACAATAGTACAGTATTTGAGGCTCAGAGCTTTGGGTTTATGGTCTTAGGATATAGGTATCGGGCTTAGATTAGGCGGTTTCCGATAGGCTTGTGGGCTGTTCGGACTTTCCCGCCGGTGAGCCTGAGAAAGGTATCAGACCTCGGTTTCGTGGCGTTGTGCGACGCGCTCTGCCCGGGGCGTGCCACACTGGGCTATCTGAACCTGACCAGCAGCCAAGCTGCAAGGGAGCGACCCTAAACCCTAAACCCAAAACCCTGAACCCTGAACCCGAAACCCTAAACCAGCGAGAGGGGTTGAGACCCTACGAAGCCCCAGACCCCAAACCTGATAGCCAAAGATCCCTACAACAAAGCCCTGAACCAAACCCTTTGGAAGACTCAAAAAAACCCACAAAAACTCGCACAACAAAACACTAAGCCAAGCCCTTTTGAGACCTTTTTAAAACACCCTCAAACTCCTGGGGCGGAGGGGGGAAGGGGGGGGGAATCTGCAAGCACCCTGCAAGACTCTGAAGCCGATAAGCCTGGGTCCGGACCCAGCTTTTCGGTGAACAGCTTCTCTGTACGGTGCTTTCCGAAAATGCCCTTTGAGGGGATTCTATTCGATTACAGGGGTATACACGGCCGGTTACCTCTAATTATTTTGGGATTGTGCTGCAATGAGACTCTAAACTCTAAATCCCTAAACCCTGGCTTTGGGAGTTTTCGGCCCCACCAGTCCGCCCTCAGCCCTACGAAGGGCTTTTAGAACCTTCTTTTGGCCCATGAGCAGTCTCAAGAAGTGTACCGAAATCCTAAACCTCAAACCCTCAACCCTACGCCGTACGACAGAAACCCCGAATCAAAGCCCTAAACCCAAAACTGGGAGCATGTGCTTGCCGGGACGCGGCATTCAGGCAATCGGCTGACCTCTGTGTCCGTGTGCCGCATGACCGCCGTGCTGGAAAGCTGGTGCCAAGCGGCTGTGACTCTTGGTTACGATGCAATATACGGGCCGCAAGAAGTACTTGTGGCAATGGTTTTTCCTGATTGTCCCTGCCCCATATTATAACTATTCTATGATCCCTCAAGCCTAATCCATCCTAAAACTCAATGACTAAACCCTAAACCCCCGAAGCCCGAAACCCCGAGCCCGAAACCCTAAACCCAAAAGGCACCAAACCCTCCCCAAGCCCTAAACCTTAAGCCCTAAACCCAGAAGGGCCCTAAACCCTAGGGATCTCCTACCGCTGGGCGGCGTGGACGTCACCTACAACGATGCATCGGCAGCCAGGTTGAAGTAAGCTGTCGGTTTACTGTGTTAAGGCTCAGGGTTTAGGGTTTAGGGTTTAGGGTTTGGGGTTTAGGGTTTAGGCTTTATAGGGTTTAGGGCTTCGGATTTAGGAGTTAGGGTTTAGGGTAGAAGAGAAGAAGCCCTTGACCCGAAGCCCAGTTGTTTAGATTTTAAGGATTACGAGCTCCCCCACCAACCATTCCAATGACGACATAGGCCTGCGAATGTTTGAATGTAAACAATCCTGTCCCTGCCCAGCTACGACGCTCCTACTTGGCTGCGCGAGGAGAACGTGGCCTGCCCACATAAACCTAAACCCTAAACCCTAAACCCTATAAACCCTAAACCCTATAAACCCTAAACCCTAAACAGCCGTAAGCCCTTCGCCTGCCTTGAGATACAGTCGGTCCTGGGATTCCGCAGCGCCCTGCGGCGTTTGTCTGCGACGCGTCCGAAGGCCGGGCGGCGACTGCGAGCAGTTTAGGGTTTGGGGTTTAGGGTTTGAGGTTTGGGGGTTTAGGGTTTGAGGTTTGGGGGTTTGGGTTTGAGGTTTAGGGTTTGGGGTTTGGGGTTTGGGGGTTTGGGGTTTAGGGTTTGGGGTTTGGGGTTTGGGGTTTGGGGTTTAGTGTTTGGGTTCAGGGTTCAAGGTTCAACTCTAGAGGTCAGGCTCTAGGCTTCATCAGGGCTCTGGAGCTGACATGGGTCTAGGGTCTGGTAAGGCGAAACCCTAAATCCTTAAACCTAAACCCTAAAGCCTGAGGGTTCTTTTTCCTGCAGTCTTTTAGTGCCCGCGCTCCAATCCATGATGTGGTGAAACTACTCTAAACTCTCAACCCTAAGCCCTCAACACATGATGGTCCTTTTTTTTGGGGGCGGGGGGGGGGGGGTTGTCCTCTGCAGCCCCTAAACCCTAATCCCTAATCCCTAAACCCTAAACCCTAAACCCCTGAGCCCTGAGCCCGTTTAAGGCGTCACAGTCTCGACCAGTATAAGGAGGGCCTTTTTCCTGAAGGTTTTGTTTTAATAGAAGGCTTTTATCAAGTGACCTGACCGTGTACGGGTAATGACAGGCTTAGATTAGCAACAACCAGCTGTCCTTAAAGGAAGTCGAGTAGAGGAATTTTTCGCTTGGAGCCCCCTCCGCCTGTGTGGTGCCAGGATAGAATTCGAGTTGTTACTTCCAGACTTAATGGTTTGGTTAGGGTTCAGGGTTTAGGGTTTTGGGTTCAGCGTTTCGGGGTTCTAGTTGGGTTTCGGGTTTGCGGGTTTGCGGGGTTGGCGTGGTAGTGGTGGTGGCCCAGATCCGCTGCATACAACAAGGACGCCTGCCAGCATATGTTCACTGCTGGCTGTGGCTGAGACGAGGATCTGATCCTCTCCGCAGCTCTCTGCAACTAGACCCTGAACCCTAAACCCTAAACCCTAAACCTAAACCCTCAACCCCAAACCCGAAACCCCAAACCCTAAATCCTAAATCTCAAGTCCATCATCTCGGGGGGCATCACTCCAAGAGATGCTTAGATGCTTAGCTCGGCAAGAGTTTCAGGGCTCTGGGATGCTTGGAGGGGTTTCTTGTTTGGGGCCTTGGCCCCCTACTGTAAACCCTAAACCTTTTAAACCCTAAAACCTAAACCCTAAATTCCCACCCGGCCTGCTTAGGCCGTACCCACCCTTTTCTAGGGTGCCTGGACCCAGAAGATGCCCGGCAGTGACCTTTACTGGATGGACAATGGGTGGAGCATTGGAGCTCGCCTTGCCACTAGCGCCGTCCACCACCTTGGCCCCTGGCCCTTCTGGCCCCCTTTCTGGCCCCCCCTGGCCGCCTGGCCGCCGCCGGCTGGCCCTTACCTCACCCCCCGCCCGGCTCCTTCACCACACGGTTGTAGGGAAAGCAATGGTGGGAATTGAGGGCGACAGCCCCAAAACCCCAAAAGGCAGTGGTTTGGGTGGTGGCCTGTGAAAGCTCACAGCGGGTGGGGAGAAAGAACCCAGCACCAATGAAATTGTTGGATCTCATTGACAACAGATGCCTTCGCGTGACATGCCGCCCCCGCACCCCCTGGGTGTGTAGGGGCGCCATTTACACCTGGCACTTACTGCCGCTGCGCGGCGAGACGCCCTAAACCCTAAACCCTAAACCCTAAACCCTAAACCCTAAACCCTAAACCCTAAACCCTAAACCCTAAACCCTAAACCCTAAACCCTAAACCCTAAACCCTAAACCCTAAACCCTAAACCCTAAACCCTAAACCCTAAACCCTAAGCCTAACCCTAAACCCTAAACCCCCAGACCGCAGCTCAACTCTCAACTGAGGCGATCCCATCTCTGAAGCGAGGTGCTAGCCGAGGAGGCCCCAAGCATGATGCGTCCGGCGTCGTTTCAGGATGATGATGGAGGGTTTAGGGTTTAGGGTTTTGGGTTTGGGGTTTAGGGTTTAGTATTTAGGGTTTAGGGTTTGGGGTTTAGGGTTTAGGGTTTAGGGTTTCAGGGTTAAGGGTTCAGTGTTTATGGTGTAGGGTTTAGGGTTTAGGGTTCAGGTCAGGTTCAGGTTTCGGGATGTGGGGGGTTAAGGGGCATGTTGCTGTAGAGTTTCGTTTGGGGCCGAAAGGGGTTTGCAACGGGGGTTACCTAAACTCCTACTCTCTACCTCTCAAACTGGCGCCACCTGCCCTCTTAAAGCACCCGGAGCCTTGAACCCTAGCCCTAAACCCTAAATCCTAAACCCTGACCCTAAACCCTAACCCTAAACCCAACTCCCAAGCCTCTAAACCCCCAAAAGGCCCTGATGGCTCGAACGCACAAGAACCGCGTCTTTCGCGGCTCATGGGCTAGCAGGGTAGTCCCTTCAGTCTCGCCTGAAACCTTCAAGCCCAAAACCCTACGCCCTAAACATCCTTAAGCCCTAAACCCTAATCCCCAAACCCTAAACCCTAAACCCTAAACCCTAAACCCTAAACCCTAAACCCTAAACCCTAAACCCTAAACCCTAAACCCTAAACCCTAAACCCTAAACCCTAAACCCTAAACCCTAGCCCTAAACCCTAAACCCTAGAAACGGTCCAGGGCTGCAAAGCGCTTCGGCTGCGAAGGTGGCTCCGTCCGGCATTAGCCCGGGCACCAGGCAAGCCCGTCGCTGGTAAGAATAGTGGCAGTGATCATCTAAGTAGCTGAATGAGTAATCCCCTCCCCCTAATATTAAACCCCCCCTACCCCCTAATATTAAATACCCCCCATTATAGTTATATTAGAGTATATTGGGGGTGTTTAGTATTAGGGGGTAGGGGGGGGTTTAATATTAGGGGGAGGGGGTTACACTGGACACTTTTTGGGATACTATAACCCCCTATAGAACTGAAAGTGTACACTTTTTGGGGGCTTATGAACTCAGCAAGTAAGTCATTGGCCACTTCTCAAAACGATTGTCTAGGACCCGGAGTAGGCCCTTGTTTCTTTTTTTAAGACCACGAAGGGCACCCTTTTTATTCCTAGGTTACTCCTGGGTCTAGTGGTCCCCTTTCGGGTACCCTAATCGTAGGGGCCATTGATGAAATGGATGACGCAGTGACAGCGATAGCATTGTCTTTGTTACTCGGGGGCCTGAATCATTAGCGTAGGGATTTTGGGCGGTTATTCTAGTCTAACCAGAAAGGGAACCATAAGAGAATGCTCTTTTCGGAACTATTCCGACCCTGATATTCTGGCTTGAAACAGGGGCTCCGATGCCTTTGTAGCTCAAGAACTTGGTTAAGTGTGGCTCTTTGTGGGGGCTGGGCAGCAGCCGAATATGGCGGTAGACAGCTCCGACGAGGACCCAAGACAGCGCCAGGCCCGTGGGCGGCAAACCCTCTCTGGTCAGCTCTTTTAAAGTAGGGCCCCCTTTTTGGGGGCAAATAAGGGCCAAAGGGGGGACCGAAATCAGTGCCCCTTTTGGAGCTTCTATCGTAAGGCGGCCCCTTATATATTTAGGGAACCCATGAAAGCCCGCAGCCCGAATCCTAAGCCCTAACCTTTTTGGGTTCGTTTGGGGTTCACTGACTGGGGAGGGTTACGTTAGGGACTCGGAGGATGAGGTGGAGGCCCTAGATGCAGGAGGGCAGTGGCACTGACACAGCTCCCTGATCCTTTTGGGGTTAGGACTTAGGGTTTAGGGTTTGGGGTTTGGGGTTTGGGGTTTAAGGTTGGGGGTGCCTGGAGTGCCTGGGGTGCCTGGGGTTTGGTGGTTTGGGGTTTAGGGTGTCGTGAAGACGGTTTACGGCCGGGGGGGGCGAGGGTAATCGCGGCGCAGCCGGGAGGACGACCCGCTGCTCGTCCCCAGTGGCGATGATGGAGAAGCCGTCCAAATCACGGGAATGGGTGGTGTTTCCATCGGCTTCTCCTTAGACGCGGATATGAAGCTGGGAGAGTTGGCCGGAAAGATCCAGGAAGGAACCGGCTACCATCCGAAGACCTTCCGCCTCCTCGTGAACGGACAGCTCTGCGAGTCCCAGCCCGCACCCGTGCCTGTCAAGACGCTGAGCTTCGTGCGGCTCCGGAAGGACGAGGAGCAGAAGCAGGCCTTCTTGCAGAAGTTCAGGGGGGACTTGCCGAGTGGCCGAGTCCGCGGTGCCATGGAGGAGCTCGAAAGTTTCCTTCACCACTTTGACCGCAGGGCGCCAAACGAACGGCAGCGGCAGCGCCTCCTGCGCAGCGTCCAGCGCCACGCTCCTGGGTCGTGTTTGGATAGGCTGACTGGGATTTGTAGGTAGCTCCGTGGCCCTTTGGATATTTGTCATTTTCCCTTACTGGGTTTAAGAGGATGGGTTTGAAAGGTTCATATTCAGAAAAAATTTTCAGAGGGCTGTAACGGCCATCCTCGGTCCTAAAACCTAAGGCCCTACAAAGCTGCTGGTCTCTGAGCACCGTAGAAGTAGCTTGCTCAAAAGCAGGGCACATGGTGAGGAAGAAGCACCCGAAACCCGAAATCTGAAGCCCTAAACCCTAAACCCTAACCCCCAAACCCTCTGAGGCAGATGCATCCGAGCTGTTCACATGGCTCGCGGAGGATGCTGGGCGTGTTTAGGGTTTAGGGTTTAGGGTTTAGGGTTTAGGGTTTAGGGTTTAGGGTTTAGGGTTCAGGGTTTCGGAAGGAAGATTTGTAGGGCTTGGCTTCCAGATCCCTCCCTCCTCCGGTTCGACTCCCGGCCCACGAAACCCTCATTCCCTTCACCCTATGCCCTATACACCCTACACCCTGAACCCCACACCCCACACCCTAAACCCTCCCCCGCCCCCGCCTCCCCCCGCTTCGGCACCTTGAGTCAATGACCTAAACCCCAAACCCTAAACCCCAAACCCTAAACCCTAGACCCTAAACCCCAAACCCTAAACCCCAAACCCTAAACCCCAAACCCTAAACCCCAAACCCTAAACCCTAAACCCTAAACCCCACCAGGATGACCTGTTTGTGGAAGACCTCCTCATCCTGCTCTCTGAGGGCCCGGAGAACCTGCAAAAGCGACTCCTGAAAGTGCCTTGGCACCTAAGGCTTGAGGCTTCAGGGCCCCTAAACCCTAAAAGGGGTTTAGGGATTAGGGTTTAGGGTTCAGGGTTTAGGGTTTAGGGTTTAGGGTTTAGGGTTCAGCATCTCAAGTCCAAGCAGTCACTAGTCAAGAAATTACTCCAAAAAATGCCCACCCGCCCAAAGAATCCCACAACATTCAGAAAATATTTCACTTATGGAACGACCTTGCCCAGTAAAAAACAACCTTGCCCAATAAACAAATGACTTTGCCCAGTAAAAAAATGACCTTGCCCAGAAAAAATACTTTTGCTGGGCAAGGTCATTTTTTTCTGGGCAAGGTCATGATTTTTTTCTGGACAAGGTCATTTTTTTTTACAGGGCAAGGTCGTTTTTTGGACCGAACGACCTTGCCCAGTAAAAAATGCCCTTGCCCAGTAAAAAATAGACTTTTGCTGGGCAAGGTCATTTTGTACTGGGCAAGGTCTTTTTTTTTGCTGCGCAAGGTCATTTTTTACTGGGCAAGGTTGTTTTTTGGACCGAACGACCTTGCCCAGTAAAGAAATGACCTTGCCCAGTAAAAATAGGTGGACCTTGCCCAGTACAAAAATGACCTTGCCCAGTAACTCCATTAACATTTAGATTATATATGAAAGAGAGGCTTAGGGTTAAGGGTTTAGGGTTTAGGGTTTCGGGTTTAGGGTTTTAGGGTTTTAGGGTTTTAGGGTTTAGGGTTTAGGGTTTAGGGTTTAGGTAGGGCGTAGGGTGTAGGAATTGGGCTCTTGGGTTTTGGGCTTTAGGACTTTTCGGGTTGTTTAAGGTTCAAGCTCCAGCTCTCTTTCGGCTTCGATAAGCCGTTTAGGGTTTAGGGTTTAGGGTTTTGGGTTTTGGGTTTTTGGGGTATAGGGTAGAAGATCCCCACATATGTTGTCAGGTCGTCTTGCTCGTGGCTGAGCCTCAGCTATCAGTCATCCCCGGCCTGGCAGAGCGGCTGGCGCGAAGGTCGGATTGGGTTTAGGGTTTAGGGTTTAGGGTTTAGGGTTTAGGGTTTAGGGTCTAGGGTTTAGGGTTTAGGGTCTAGGGTTTAGGGTTTAGGGTTTAGGGTTCATAGGGTTTAGGGTTTCAAACCCCTAAATCCCTAAGCCTGAGTCGTGAGTGGAGCCGAATTGCAGGACGGAGTTGGCGACGTGGCGCTGGCTGGACTCAGATGCTAGTGAGGCGGGGGCCTCGGCAAAGCAGCCCCTAAACCCTAAACCCTAAACCCTAAACCCTAAACCCTAAACCCTAAACCCTAAACCCGTGAGGGGCTTCTAGGGTTTTAGAGGTCTACGGGTGTCGGGCTTCGAGGGTTCCTAGACCCTAAACCCTGGACCCTAAACCAGAAACCCTCTTGGGGGTTAGGGTTTAGGGTTTAGGATTGGGGTTCAGAAGTTAGGATTGGGGTTTAGGGCTTAGGGCTGCGCTTTGGGCGTTTAGGGGCTTATAGGGTGGGTTTATAGGGCCTAATTCGGGTTCTTCAGGGTTTATGCAGTGCTTCTGCAGACTGGGAGCTTAGGGGTTTGGAACCCCACACTCGTGAAGAAACAGCAAAGGCAGCAAAGACCCTCCCGCACCTGGGTGTCAACCGCGGCTTCGTCCTCAACTCGCTGCCATGTGCCAGCGCAGCCAGTTGCAGAAACATCGCGAAGCACATGTCAAAAGAGTTTCTTGGCACTCCAGGCGTATGCATTGTCCAGTTTCTCGATCGTTGTACCTTCTTGTCCCCCTTCCAGCCCACTCAAGCTCGAAGACCCTAAATCCTTATGACCCGCAACCCTACACCCTATAAACCCTACATCCCTTAATGTGTTTTGTGGCAGGTTCCTGGCAGATGAGGAGATCGTCAAGGCTTTGATTCAGAAAGACGGCCTCGTGCTAGAGCTCGCAGCCCCTTCTCTGCGGGCAAAGCCGGCCATAGCTGCTTGGCTCCTCCCTAAATGGTGAGTTCTCGAAAAATGGTCCCTTGTGGAAGTTCGGGTTTAGGGTTTAGGGTTTAGGGTTTAGGGTTTAGGGTTTAGGATTTATAAGGGTCGTATGACAGCAGCGATCCCGAAGGTACTGCCATTAGAACTCTCATCCCCCCGCCTCACCTCATTTAGGGTCTAGGGTTTAGAGTTTAGGGTTTAGGGTTTAACCCGAAACCCTAAACCCGAAACCATTGAAGGGGGGTGTTCTTTCTTTTCGGCCTGCCACTGTGTCACAGTTCGCTTCTAAAAGTTGGCAAAAAGCTTGGAAAGTTTGCGTGACCAAAAGTATTAAGGGGGTTTAAGGTTTAGGGTTTAGGGTTCGGGCCAGAAAATCCAAGAACTCAAAGGTTCTACACAGTGTCCCAGTTCAGTTCCCAAAAGTTGGCCTAAAGTCTGGCAGTCAAAGGTTCAGGGTTTAGGGTTTCGGGTTTAGCGTTTGGGGTTTAGGAAGGGCTCTTTGGCCCGAACCGTCCCCAGTGCAACAATCTGAGGGTGTATCCTTTGCAATCTAGGCCAACGGTGTCCCAGTTCACTTCACGAAAGTTGGCCAACCATTTGAAGGCTACAAAGTCAACCAGTGCAATCACTTGGGGGGGGGGGGGGGGGGGTATCCTTTGCCTTCTCGCAATGATTCAGGGGCTCTCAGCCAATTCACTGTCGAAAGTTGGCGAAAAGCTTGGCAGTGAAAGGGTTTTTCGGCCGGAACCGTCCCCCAACCACTGAGGACGGTGTCCTTTTCCTTCTGGAAAAATCCAATGAAACAGGGGTTGCAGCTTACTTGTACCCCATAACCGGCCAAGAACTTGCCATCCGCAAATGAACCAAACGCACGTCCGAAGTGTCCCAAGCATCCCAAGTGGAGTTTGCGAGTTTGCCAAAAAGTTTGCCAAAAGTCCCGCACGACCCAACAAACCAATGTCTCAAAATGTCCCCTGTGGCAAGTTCTGGTACGTTGTACTTTGTGGGCTTTGAAACTCGTCGGGCTCCGCTTCGTGCTCGATGTAGGTACAGAACCTCGGTTTCGGATTTAGGGTTCAGGATTTAGGTTTTTTGGGTTTTATGGCTTAGTGTTGCGGTTTCGGTGTAGCTAGGAACCAGAGAGGGCCCCTATCTCCTTGCCTCCAGAGCCATGTACCTTTAGCTGCCCATGCCGCGCAACAGCCAAGGTTCACCTGGCAATGGCGAGTCGTGTTGATGCTGTCCGGTTTGCGTCCGAGGCCGTCCGTGCCGACCGTGAGACGATGCTGTCGGCCGTGAGTCGCAATGGCATGCTGCTGGAGTGCGCCTCTTCAGAACCTAGGCAGGTCCAGTGGTACCCTTTACCCTATTTTTGGTTCTGGGTTCCCTTCTTAAAGTAACCACCCCAAAAGAGCGTGCCCTTTTGTTATCATATGGTTACTGGGCTACGAAGGAACTGAGAGCTGACATGATATTCATCAAGACAGCCGTGGAACAGAACGTCTTTGCCGTTGGCTTTGCTCTTGGTCACCCTGCCGAGTTGGGGCAGCTTGCCGCAACACAGGTCATGAAGCGCCTGGGCGTGACGACTGAGAACCTGGGCCATGAGCTGGTGAATCATGCTGAAGACGTCTGCAGGTGGCTCGGCGCACGTTGCTATCCACCCGAATCCGTCCTCCAAGCTCTCCGCGCATTTCTCCACGACCTGGATCAGGGCGATCAGGGCAAGGTTCCTGATCAAACCCACGTCATGGCCGCCAAAACTCTCTGGAAGCGGTTTGCCCTGGAGGGGGTGAAGCACCTGCCCTTCCTCTTCTATAGGCAGCTGCCGACGGAAGAGAAGCGCGATGTCGAAATTGCGGTGAAAGCCGTGCAACATGATGCTCAGCTCTTCCCTTACCACCTACCAGGGCAACTCCGTCAACACTTTGAGGCTCCGGGCTTTGAGTGGGAAACCATAAGAAAAAACTGCGTGTCGAGGATCTACGGGCGAAGCAGAAGTAGGGTTAGTTACCCGAGTCCGCATACCCCTGTAAATGGCGACCAGACCTGGACCAGAGCCCTAAACCCTAAACCCTAAACCCTAAACCCTAAACCCTAAACACCCCAGAACTGATGAGCTGCGACTCTGCCAGGTCATGGTGACAGCGCTCTCTACGACCCAGCCCGGGAGCAGCCACCGTGAGTACTTTAAGTACCTCGTGCCCAACACCGACAAGACACTGGGCGCCACGAAAGATTAGGGTTTGGGGTTTAGGGTTTAGGGTTTAGGGTTTGTTATCATGGTTGGCTCTACGCCTAGGGCCGCTTGTCTGCCCGACTGGCCAGTACCTGGATCCCCAAAGTACGTATGACAAGAGTGGCCCAAGACCCAACAAGAAGGCCACTGTTTGACATACCCTAAACCCTAAACCCTAAACCCTAAACCCTAAACCCTAAACCCTAAACCCTACTTTTGGGGGTTTAGGTAAGCTTTGGGGTGAGTAGTGGGTGAGTCGATTTTAGATGCGTTTCGGGCAGTTTTGGGGAATGGATCCGAACGACCTAAACCCTAAACCCTGAACCCTGAACCCTGAACCCTGAACCCTGAACCCTGAACCCTGAACCCTGAACCCTAAACCCTAAACCCTAAACCCTAAACCCTATAAACCCTAAACCCTAAGGATGAGGGTCTTCCGTGCTGTGGGTGAGTTGCCCTGATGGCCACCTGCGCGGCCTCGAAGTTTGTGAGGGCTGAAGGGTTTAGGGTTTGGGGTTTAGGGTTTAGGGTTTAGGGTTTAGGGTTTAGGGTTTAGGAGCCTTAGGGGCCTTAGGGGTCTTGGCAGCCCCGTGGCACCCTAGGTAATCTTTGGGTGCCCTTGTAAAGTGACCCCCCCCCCCCCCCCCCAAAAAAAAAAAAAAAAAAAAGTACCCTGAATTATAAAGATGGTGCCTGGGCTGTCAAGGGACAACGAGGAGGGACCCTTACAAGGGTCATTCGGGGGCTACTTCGGTATCTTGGGACCCTATAAGGTATCCCTAAACCCTAAACCCTAAACCTTAAACCCTAAACCCTAAACCCTAAACCCTAAACCCTAAACGGGGGGTTATATAAGGGAGTAAGATTAAGGGTCCATTCTAGGGCTCCCCCCTTTGACCCCCTAAATGGGTTGTTTGTCAGCCTCTTATGGGCTGTTTGGGGGTTTAGGGTTTAGGGTTTAGGGTTTAGGGTTTAGGGTTTAGGGTTTAGGGTTTAGGGTTTAGGCTCTTATGGCCTGTCAATTCTTTGGCGGCTTTCGCTCTTGCCAGGGGCAAGAGGGGTCGAAGGATCCAAAGGCGCCGGACCCATTCTGCATGTCCATATCTGCTTCTGCACCATGTAGGTGCTCACTTTTTCGAACCCGAACCTACCCTAAACCCTAAACCCTAAACCCTAAACCCTAAACCCTAAACCCTAAACCCTAAACCCTAAACCCTAAACCCTAAACCCTAAACCCTAAACCCTAAACCCTAAACCCTAAACCCTCAACCCTAAACCCTAAACCCTAAACCCTAAACCAAACAATAAAATAGGGGTGCCGTGAGAAGGTGGCGGGGGTTGACAGCTGAAGTGGGGCAAGGGTTGCCCCGTGTTCCAGTCTCTCGACTGCACAGTACAGCAGGGTATATATTTCTGGTGCCCCCAAAAGGACACTCGGTATATACACTCACCAAATTTAGAAGGAACCTTATATACGCTCACCGATAACAGTAATATAGACCCTGTTTCAATGTCGAGGACAAGAGTTCCGCTGCACAGTCAGGCTCAGTTGGTCGGCTGGCCTGCCTAGTATCTCCACCCCCACATGGGGGTTGACGAAATTAGGGGGGACACCCAACATAGATCCCAAATAGTAGGATTCCCCTTACCATAAGGAGCCCAAGAAGGCTCCCCCTAGTTTCGGAAACCCCCTCAGTTGCGAAAAAAAGTGACCCGAGAGCTGCACCGAACAGGGGCTTTTCTTGGGAGACTCGGCGAGAGCTCTCACGAATCTCCAGCCACCGGCAAGGGCCACTGCCCTGAGGTATTACAGCCGAACTTCGTACCTGGCTTCTATGGGATGCTTCCATCTTTTCAGTATTTTGGGTGTAGAAGGGGCCCTATATATATATATATAGATATATCGTAGAAGTATGTTTCAAAGTTTACATCAAGGCCAACCCAGCTAAGCAGCGGGAGGACCGAAGTCTACTCCTCGGCTGTCGACGGGGTATGTTATGTGTCCTGTGCAGGAATGGCTGTTGTCGACTGCGCGCTGCGCTTCATCGCACGGGGGTAGTCCTCGGAGAAATGGGGCGCCGTGCGCAAGCCTTTGCAGCCAGCGGGCTTAGGGTTTAGGGTTTAGGGTTTAGGGTGTAGGGTGTAGGGTTTAGGGTTTAGGGTTTAGGGTTTGGAGCCTTAGGACTCCTCAGCGTGTACTGAGCTCGACTTCGGCTGGTCTATGTCGAATCGTCACGCGCCGCTGGTTTGAGACGTTGCCGGCACTGCCTTGCCCTTCTTGCAGCCTTTTAGAAGGGTGTAGGGTTGAGGGTTTAGGGAGCTTGAAAACCTTGACTCAGACCCCTAAAGCACGGAAAACATTTGAAAACGCCTAAAGCACCAAACTGTAAACTCCTAGACCCAAGGCATCCCAAGGCGCTCACCGCTCTAAACTGGCTGGTTCTTAGTAGGGAACGGGGGAATGAGGTCCCCTATATAATCCCTTAAAGGGTATATATATATATAATAGAAATATATTATATTATATATATATATATATATATCTACTGTTGTATAGGGCCCGAATTCCCTCCTTCCCTACTAAGAACCAGGGGGTAAAGCCAGGCATCCCACAGGCTCTTCGCATGCCCCCAAGGCCTGGCAGAAAGTCAAGGCCTCGGGGGGTTTGGGGTTTCGGGTTTAGGGTTGAGGGTTTGGGGTTTCGGGTTTAGGGTTTAGGGTTGAGGGTTTGGGGTTGAGGGTTTAGGGTTTAGGGTTGAGGGTTTAGGGTTTAGGGTTGATAGTATTATATCAATGAATATTGATATAGTACTATCCGATATTATGCCACAAGTTTCGGGTTTAGGGTTGAGGGTTGAGGGTTTGGGGTTTGGGGTGTCGGGGTCAGGGTTGAGCCCTAGACCCCCTATTTGCGGCTTGCGGTGTGGGTTTCGGGCGTTTTGGGGTTTTGGGGTTTTGGGGTTTTGGGGTTTTAGGTTCCGGGCCCGGCAACACATTGCTAGCCGCTGTGTGGTAGCCCGAAGGCAACTGCAGAGCTAGTTGAAGACCCTAAGCCATGTTGGTCCCAAGCCCCAGACCCTGAACCCTAACCCACCCTAAACCCGGAACCCTGAACCCTAAACCCTAAACCCTAGACCCTAAACCCTCTCTTCCTGAAACCAGGCACCCCATGACCTCATGGCGGCCGGGGGCCAAGAATCACAAGCGCTTGCAGCGTATTGGGGTAGGGATTAGGGTTTGGGGGTTAGGGTTTAGGGTTTAGGGTTTAGGGTTTAGGGTTTAGGGTTTAGGGTTTAGGGCCTTAAGGTTTAGGGGTGTAGGGGCTTAAGGTTCGAGGTTGAGGGTCTAGGGCCCGGCGCAAGACAGTGCCCTAAAACCCAATAGGGTTTAGGGTTTAGGGTTTAGGGTTTAGGGTTTAGGGTTTAGGGTTTAGGGTTTGCAGCAAGCAGGCGGAGTCGGTAACAACCCAGGGTTTAGGGTTGAGGGCTTAGGGTCTGGTACAATCCCCTTAGACCCGCAGGCTCCTACACCTCGAGCTTGTTTAAGTGGGACCCCGAAACCCTAAAACCCTAAAACCCCCTATAACCCTACTGAACCCTGCCCAACTTGCGAGATCTGTAGCCCACGGAAAAGGCTACATGTACCCATATCCAGTAGACACATAGACCTTGTAGAGGCGACATACCTACTTTTACTTGGAATGAGAGGGATGGGAGGCGCCTTACAAAAATCCCTTGAAGGGTATATACAGGGGGATGGCAAGTACCTACTTCCCTTCCTGAAAAACTAGCAGGTTTGGGGGCCCGGTAGCCCCAACCTGGAGACGCCAGCCAATGCTCAATCTCGACCCTTGAGCTCCACGTCGTCCCAGGGTCTGCCCCGTACAGGGGGCCCCTGCGGAATCACCCGAGTCGGCGGAGGCGTGGGCAAAGGACCTGGCGCACCCGAACCTAAACCCGGAGCCCTAAGCCCTAAACCCTGAACCCAAAACCCTTAACCCTAAACCCTATACCCACTAAACCCTAAACTCTAAATCGGAGAGAGAAGGGGTGTTGAGGTTCGCTCCACGCGAACCACGGCCCAGGACTTGCTAAAGCCGCATCCAGAGAGGGGTTTGGGTATTTCTGCCCCTGGAGGTATGGCGTTAATGGTCTAGAAGCATGTTTACAGAATTGAAGCTCTAAACCAACCCAAAACCCTAAACCCTACACCCTAAATTTTCAGTCCGTGTGGTTTCACATCCGCTTGCGCTCGACCTTAACCCCAAATCCCTGACACGTTGAGGGGATTGTAGGGTAGAAAATAGCCACACTTATAAACCCTATAAACCCTTATTCTCACGTTGTGAACCCTTTCGACCCCCTAAACCCCCTAAACCCCCTAAACCCCCTAAACCCTGAACCCTAAACCCTAAACCCAGGCTCGTTGTGCTTCGGCCTCAAGAAGCATCAGGACGCCGGCTCCACAGGCCGGCAGTGGAGAAACTCCGAGGTGGTAGGGTGCTGGTCGTTTGGGGTTTAGAGTTTAGGGTTCAGGGTTTAGAGTTTAAGGTTTAGGGTTTAGGGTTTAGGGTTTAGGCTTTGGGGTTTAGGGTTTAGGGTTTAGGGTTTAGGGTTTAGGGTAAACCTCAACAACTTTAAGCCACAGAAGAGAGCTACCTGAAAGGTTTGAGTCTAAAAACCCTCATCTTGCGCGGACTTTGGGGGTGCGGGTTCAGGGCTTAGGGGTTTCATGTTTCTTGAGGCATGTTGTTGTTCAGGGCTTTCGTGGAACAAAGTTGGCTTTCGTGGGCTGGGAGCGACTTCGGGGTCTGCCAGGCCTCCTTGTTGAACAATCGCGTCTTATGGTAGTTGGTCCTAGTTGTAAACCAAACCCTAAACCCTAAACCCTAAACCCTAAACCCTGAAGGGTACCAGAACTCAAGAACTGCTGCCACTGCGTGGCCTTCGTAGGGGCTGACAGTGTGGATCTCGTATGCATCCCCTAACCCCCAAAACCCCAAACCCTGACCCCTAACCCCTAGTCCCTAAAACCTAAACCCTAAGCCCTAAACCCTAAACCCTAAGCCCTAAACCCTAAACCCTAAACCCTAAACCCCAAGCCCTAAACCCTAAACCCTAACCCTAAACCCTAAGCCTTCAAACCCTAAATCACCGATTGGCGTCGAAGACCGGACCTCGAGTGCATTGGGGGGTTACGAAGATCTTCGGGCAGGCTCGAACTTCGTCATTGCATGCCAATCCCTGACTTTAGGCCAGGGGTGTGGACTGAGGATTACGGCTTCAGGGCTTTTGGGGTTCAGGGCTTTCTAGGGCTTTTAGATTCTTTTTAGGGTTTTAGGGTTAACGTTTTAGGGTTTAGGGTTGAAGGCAACCCCCTTAAAGGAAATCCTGCGCCCCCTCGCCATGGCTGCAGAGAACCGGGGCTGGTTCTACGTCAAGGTGCCGGATGCCAGTGAGCCCCGGGCTCAGGCCCCATGGCGCCGGAAGCCTAAACCCTAAACCCTAAACCCTAAACTTTTTGGGGGAAGCCTAGGGTTCAGGGTTTCGGGAGTTTAGGAAGTTTAGGGAATTTAACGAGGGGGGTTCAGGATTTTGGGAGTTTAGGGGGTTTAGGGCTTCGGGTTTTGGGCACCCTCAACACACCCTGAACCCCTCCGTGCATGTCCCGCGGGCTTGGGCCGGCCCGGCTACCCAGGCGGCGTGCGCAAGCATTTCCAATTCTGACCCTAAACCGTAAACCCTAAACCCTAAACCCTAAACCCTAAACTTCTTGGGGGGGAAGCCTAGGGTTCGGAGTTTAGGAAGTTTAGGGGAAGGGGGAGAAGGGGTTGGATCTGGCAATCTCTCTGTTGAGTTCTGCGTCTTGGGCTCGAACACCTCCCAGCCCAATCTCGAAACCGTACGTTAGTTGGGTTTTGGGTTTAGGGTTTAGGGTTTAGGGGTTTAGGGGTTTAGGGGTTTAGGGGTTTAGGGGTTTAGGGGTTTAGGGGTTTAGGGGTTTAGGGGTTTAGGGTTTTGGTTTTAGGCTTTAGGGTAACAATCAAATCCTCAGTTGAGCTGGCAAGCCTTGAGAAGGGTCCAAACCCTAAACCCTAAACCCTCGCACATCCCAGGACATCTATGAGCTCCGCGTGCTGCCCATGCCGGTGGTTGAGGACGGCTTTGGGTTTTTAGGGGCTTAGGGCTTTAGGGGTTTAGGGGTTTAGAGTTTAGGGTTTTGGGGGGGTTTAGGGTTTAGGGGTTTAGGAGTGTATGCAAGTGGTCCTGGAGACGATCCAGGAGTTTAGGGGTTTAGGAGTTTAGGGGTTTAGGGGTTTCGGAGTTTAGGGGTTTAGGGGTTTAGGGGTTTAGGAGTTTAGGGGTTTGGGGTTTAGGGCGTCCTCAAAAGATTCTGGGTGGGTTGTTTGAATTTGGGGGGGGACACTTCGCTAAGTCCACCCTAGATAAACCCTAAACCCTAAACCCTAACGCCCTAAGCCCTAAACCCTAAACCTAACGCCTCGAACATCCGAGAGCCGAAGCCTTGGAATCCAAGTGGGATGGCCACGCTGTGAGACATCTCGTGAACCCGGCTCCAAAGCCTGCAGACCCGGATTTAGGGTAGGGTTTGGGTTTAGGGCTAGGCGGGGCCATAACAGACCCACGCTTTTTCGGCAGTTTAGCTCTGTTGCCCTCAGAATCTCCTGTAAATACCGATGTTTCCGGGGTTTCGCCCATCACCTCATCCCCAAAACTTTTATCTAACATCTTCCTGCAGTTTTTTGGGCATCGGTAGACTACACTGGTATTTGTGGGTTTTTTTGCACTACGCACTTTCGACGTGTCCTAAACTAAGCCCTGTCTTGTTTGCATCCGCTTCTGCCCAGCCCTGGGCTAAATAACACGTTTGCTTCAGCATAGTTAGAAGAGAGCATCCATGGCCCAACCATGATGACGCCCATAGTCTAATCCGTTCTGGGAAGATAGCATCCATTGCCCAAGCATGATGACGTCCATGGTCTACTCTGTTCAGATGAGAAGAGAGCATCCATGGCCCAAGCATGATGACGTCCATGGTCCACATGTTTTCTGCACTGCCATGGCGCAACCATGATGACGTCCATGGTCTACTCCCACGACAAGCCACACCGTGACATAATACCTTTGTTTAGGGTTTGGGGTTTGGGGTTTTGGGGGAGTTTTGGGTTTTAATTATTACCCTGAAGCCTTTCTTTTGCCTGGTGCAATAGGAGGGGATGATCCTCGTCAAGAAGACGATGATTGTGACTTGCTCGAATTGGGTTGCAATACTTCGATGGGTCTGGGTGCTTGCATGATCGACGAGCGGTCGGATGTCTAGAAGCTCACAAAATACTCCTTGGAGCCGACCACCCTCCACCTCACAGTACCCAAAACAGTGCGCTTGCTTTAAGGAACTATATGCTCAACACACTGTAATATGTGAGGGTGGGAAGAAGGGGTAGGTTTGGGGTGAGCTCCACTTGACGCTTTCTTCCTGCTTCCTGCAGCAGTCCTTACGCCCTAAATTTCTAGAGCCCATGAACCCTAAATCCCTAAACTCTACACGCTACAAACCCGAAACCCTACACCCTATCGACCCTAAATCCCTAAATCCCTAGACCTCAGGCTTGCGAAGCCCTAAAACCTGCAGTGGGCTCAACATCTTTCAGGCTTCGGGCGTCAGGCTTTACCCGTTTGAGCTGAATTCTTGAGGGCCCGCGAAAACCTAAACCCTAAACCTTAAACCCTAAACCCTAAACCCTAAACCCAAATACCTCCTCAGGTGGTTGCTCCGATGGCGAGGACGTACCTGGAGATCCCCAACTTCGATACAAAGACTGAGAAGTTGGGCCTGAAAAAGACGCAGCGCCCCGCCGAACTCTGAGGGTTTAGGGTTTAGGGTTTAGGGTTTAGGGTTTATAGGGTATATAGGGTATATAGGGTATATAGGGTCTTGGGTTTTTGGGGTTTAGGTTTTATAGGGTTTTATAGGGTATATAGAGTTTTGGGTTTAGGGTTTCGGGTCTAGGGTTTCAGGTTTAGGGTTTAGGGACCATAGAACCTCGTGCGCATTTCATGAAGAAAGACTGTGTTGGGGGCCAGCAGCAAAGCCTAGACAACGCCACGAATCTGATTTGACACTCTGGATTCTGGATGGCGCAGGCGTCACTTGAACACGCCCTAGTGCGGCCCTAAACCCCTAAACCCTAATCATGGACTTTTCGCGCGTCCCGAACGCGAAGCGCCGAGACCATATTCCCAGGTTGAACCAGCCTGGCAAGTGCGAGTCAGTTGGGATCGTGATGGAAAGCAAGAGCAAGAAGTGACCCTTCTGTTGCTTTGGAGGCTTCGGGATTCAGGGTTGGTAAGACTGGTGGTGGTTTCTGTCTGCGTGTGCGTGTGTACGTATGTTTGGGCAGCTTGCGTTGAGTCTGTTGTGGTAGCCGGGAGTGGAGTCAGCAGGTGGTGAGTTTGGATGTGTGTCACGTGCGGTTGAACGACTCATGGAGGGCGGGGGTACTGTAGGGCTTAGCTAGGTAGGCCCTTGGGACATCTTATATTTTCCCTTATTGGGTTGAAAAGGATCATGTTTAGGAACATTTTTCAGAGGGCTTTAAGGGCCATCTTAGTTAGGTACAAACTTGGTGATCGGGTTTTGCTGCCCTTCAACGACCTGCTCGAGTACTCCGTGCACCGCGACGATGGCAAAGACAGCGAGTTCGGGCCTCCCCTCAAGGCCGACAGGGTTTAGGGTTTAGGGTTTAGGGTTTAGGGTTTAGGGTTTAGGGTTTAGGGTTTAGGGTTTAGGGTTTAGGGTTTAGGGTTTAGGGTTTAGGGCAGAATCAGAAGAAATGACCTGGAACTCAGACAGGGTATTTGCTTCTGCCGTTTTCTCACAAGGTGGCGGGCAACCTTTTCTGCCCCAAACCCTCAACCCGAAACCCTTTAGACTCGACCCTAATCTTAAATGGGCATTTGCCCTGACCACAACAGATTTCAAGGTTGAGGTTCACGGTTTGGATCATGGAGCCCCTAAATAGCCCGCCACTCATTTGCAGGAAAAGGGGCTGAAACCCTAAACCCTAAACCCTCAATCCTTGAGCAGAATGGCTGCTCACGGGGAGGTGAGAAGCGGGTCTAGCCCATGGTTGTGGAGGTCCTTCGCGGTTTAAGTAAGGATTAGCAATTGGTTTGAGTCAGGATAAGTTGGGGGTTGTTTTCTTCGGGTTTCTGGGAACTATACCTTCTGTCTCCCGACAATCTCGCAGGATTTAATTAGAGGTGACGCAGGGTTTTGAGGTGATGGAGGCCGAACGCCTAGACCCTAAACCCTAAACCCTAAACCCTCAACACTAAACCCTAAACCCTAAGCCCTAAACCCTAAACCCTAAATCCTTTGCTTCTGTGACCCTCCTCCAGGTCTTCGATTTTGTGCGTACCGAGACGCAGCTGACCGCTTTGTCTCCTGGGGCAGGTTTGACCGTCACGCGGCTGCGGTTTACGGTTTAGGGTTTAGGGTTGAGGGTTTAGGGTTTAGGGTTCAGGGTTTAGGGTTTAGGGTTGAGGGTTCAGGGTTTAGGGTTTAGGCCCTAAACCATGACTAGACCAGCCACAAGCACCTACGAAGCTTGAGGCCTACTGCGCGATGAACCATCCGTGCGGTCGTGTTGAGGAGCCGCTCTGCCCCGGGTCTGACAAGTATGACGAGAGGTTAGGGTTTAGGGTTTAGGGTTTAGGGTTTAGGGTTTAGGGTTTAGGGTTTAGGGTACAGGGTTTAGGGTTTAGGGTTTAGGGTTTAGGGTTTAGGGCGTAAGGCAAGGGCCATCAGGGTTCATCCGGGTGAGGGCATTTGGGATCTCTCTATATCTCATTTGTCTTCTCCCTCTCTCTCTCTCTATCTGTCTGTGGCCCCCTTGTATAACCCTAAACTCCGAGCGAGTGATTCTGAGGGCACTGGCGGAGGGGGAGTTGAGGCACAGGTGCTGATAGCAACAAAAAGCCACAGGCGCAACAAGGATCTCTTGTTGCTTTGTTGCTTCTGTCTGACCACATCCAGGTTGAGCTTGTGTCGACGGCAGAAGTAGAATCAACCTAAACCCTGTATCATATAAACACGAAAGCGCTGAACTCTAAAGCCTAACCCGTAAAATGGACATGCATGCACTACTTTGCTTCAAGCCCTAGAGACCCCAAACCCTAAACCTAAACCTAAAACCCCTTTTTTTCTACCCCGGACGCCGTGAACGTCCTCAAATTCCTAAACTCCCTCAACCCTCAAATCATGGAAGGGTCTAAGGTTGCTTTTCCTAAACTGGTAGGGTGTAGGGGTTTAGGGGTTTAGGGGTTTAGGGTCTAGGGTTTAGGGTTTAGGGTTAGGGTTTAGGGGTTTAGGGGTTTAGGGTTTAGGGTTTAGGGTTTAGGGTTTAGGGTTTAGGGTTTAGGGTTAGGGTTTAGGGGTGTAGGGGTTTAGGGTTTAGGGGTTTAGGGGTTTAGGGTTTAGGGTCTAGGATCTAGGGTTTCGGGTTCTAGAAAGCTTGCGGTGTGGACCAAGGCTCGGGTGGCTTGCTGTCTTGCTTCAAGGGCCTCTTCCAGAAGAAGCCCCAGACGCCCGGTCTGCTTAACCCTAAACCCTAAACCCTAAACCCTAAACCCTAAACCCTAAACCCTAAACCCTAAACCCTAAACCCTAAACCTTAAGCAAAGAAGGGCGCAAGGATCAATGGTGGCACCCAGATCCTTCTGTGAAGCTGGGAACGGCCGTCGGGTTGTCCTAGGCAGCAAGGCCCCCCAAAGCCCGAAGGTTTGGGGTGTAGGGTTTAGGGTTTAGGGTTTTAGGGTTTAGGGTTTAGGGTTTAGGGTTTAGGGTTTAGGGTTTAGGGTTTAGGGTTTAGGGCACTTTACACCTTAAACCCCTTTCATGAGGAGTAGACCCCCTAAACCCTAAACCTAATTGCCTGTAAGGAAGACCGTGCTGATCACCTCCGCAGCCGGTGCAGTGGGCACTATTGCAGGTCAGCTCTACAAGAGAAAAGGCCAGCTGCTAGGGTTTAGGGTTTAGGGTTTAGGGTTTAGGGTTTAGGGTTTAGGGTTTAGGGTTTAGGGAATTGGGGCCCCCAAACCCGATTCCTGAACCTTTAACACTCCTTCTACACCCTGAACCCCTAAACTTCTTGTGAACCCGTAGGAAGCCTCAAAAGATGAACCACTAGAAGGCATATGCTTGTTCTTAGGGACGCTCAGACATTCTGCGATGTAGGTCAGCCCCGAATGATCTGTCTTCCCTGCAATACTTCTTCGTGTAAACCCCAAACCAGTTTTCCCCCCATGCAGTCCAGGCTGCAAGGTCATCGGCGTCACCGGTACGCGCGAGAAGGACGATCAGCTGATGTCTTGTAGTTCCCAAACGGCTTAGGGTTTAGGGTTGGGGTTTAGGATTTGGGGTTTTGGGTTTTGGGTTTCGGGTTTGGGGTTTAGGGTTGGCTGGAGGCTCTTGCATCAGGGAGTTGGGTGGTTTGTAGAGTTGTGCGATGTATGTGCGCACCCCCCCCCTCTGCTTGCCCCCAATCCCTAAACCCTAAACCCTAAACCCTAAACCCTAAACCCTAAACCCTATAAACCCTAAACCCTCGAGTGGGAGTGGTCGCTCCCAAAGATGCGCAGGCGGACCAACTCTTGAACTTCGGCTACGATGCCGCCATTGCGTACCTGGGGCGGTTGATGTTTGGGTGTAGGGTGTAGGGGTGTAGGGGTGTAGGGGTGTAGGGGTGTAGGGTTTAGGGTTTAGGGTTTGGGGGTTTACGGAATTAGGTTTTAGCCCAAGCAAGGTACAAGACGGAGGATATGGACCAACAGCTTGCGCAGCTGGCCCCAGAGGGCATCGATGTCTTTATGGACAATGTCGGCTCGCACCAGCTCGACATCGGCACGAAGCACATGAACGTTTCGGGGAAGGTCGTCATCGTGGGTTGCATGAGTGAGGTCGACCGTTTTGGCCACGAGGTCCACGGCTACAAGGGATATCTGCACGTAGCAGCTCGCGAACTGACCGTGGGCGGATTCCTGGTTTACAACCACGTGAAGGAAATTCCTCTTGCCATCATGTCAATGGCCTGGATGCTGCAAAGCGGTGCGGTTACTTGGAGACTGGGTAGGTCAAACCTTTCACCTTGTTGGTTATACAGGTTCAAGTAGAATCCTACCATATATAAAAGGTTAACCTTCTTTGGGCCACCCTAAGCCCTAAACCCTAAACCCTAAACCCTAAACCCTAAACCCTAAACCCTAAACCCTAAAACCCTAAAACCCTAAACCCTAAGGTTAAGCCTGCAGCGACCGTCGTTGAGGGCAGCTTCGAAGGCTGGGCCAAGACTGTCGACGCCATGATGTCCGGGGCGACCTTTGGGAGGCTGCTGCTGAACTTGGCGAAGAGCTAGACCGGTTGTAAGCCAGGAGCTACAGCTTGCAAACCCTAAACCTTAAACCTTAAATTATCAAGATGTTCGAAAAGTTGCTGCGCTGCCGATGTTCTGTTTCAGAGAGAGCGAGCATGTATGGCAAAATGAATCGCTTGCCTAAATTATTTGTTTGCGTAATCTTATAATGCATGTGTGTGAGAGAACATATTGTTTCTTAACTCATATCAGTCCTTCACAGCGTAGCTTTTCTTGCTCGAAGTGATCAGTCCAGAAGCAATCTGAAAAAGAGGGTAGCTATGCGCTGCCCGGTTTGTCGCGATGCGGTTCTCACCACTGTCGACTGCTCGGTCGACATACTCATTTTTTTATTTGTTTCGTAGCTCACTGAGCATGTATTCCGCCGATCGAGGTACGAGTTTATGGCGCGATCGGCCAGGAGGATTGTCCAGTGTGCATGCAGGCCGGACATGAAACACAGGCAACATGTACTAACGTGAGACTCAGAATGACTAAGGAGAAGAAGAGCCTTACGGCTCTCGTTCCATGCGGGCACACGTACTGCGCCGATTGCGTGGCCGAGATGCAGGCATTGTGTTCGTTACGGTGACACGTTTTCTTTAGGTTGTCTGAAAATCGAGAAAGCACAAGGCTTGTGGCGGAGGCGCTGTTCTCAGTACTTCTACATTTGTTGCGAACGCATTATTTTTTATCGAGATCTCAGTGGATAGCTCATACACATATCTAAATAACTAGCAGAAAATTTTTATGCTCTTGCAATCCCAGGCAGAGGAGACTGAAGAGATTGTCGGCACCTCAGTGCTTTTTTGTATTCATCTGACATGTGCCTTTTTTTGTTGCCTGTCAGGTCATGAATGCGCCCGTCCTCTGGTGTGGCCATACACTCATTTTTTCCAATATTAATTATGTTTTCATTACGTACATCACCAAGGTGTCAGCGTCAAGTGGGGCCGACATCCTAATCATCCAATGAATGAGACCATTCTTATAGCGCGGTCAGCTGAAGTCTTACGCTGTCGCGCCTGCAGGCGATCCTTCTGTTTGCGGAGACGAACACACTCTGCGCTTGCGCTGAAGTTGTTTTCTGTTCGTGAAGTTCAAGAGGCGGCCTTCACATGCGGATCTGCAGCAGCAGCTGCAACAGCTGTTGCGTGAGCTGGCGGCGCCGTTGCCACGCCTGCTGGGGCGCGCCGAAAACATCGCAAACCCCGTGGGCTCACGCATGCAGGAGGCCCATGCAGAGCCGGAACCAAAGGGGATCCGAAGCGGCGCTGTGCGACACTCAAGCCTTGGGTAGTTATCATGTTTCACCGCCAGTTCCACGCATTCGGCGTGTGCCGTGGTTGCAAACTCGCAACCAGCACAATCGTAGATGGATTCTTGAAGTGGCAGAATCTTGAAATGAATCCATTTTATGGTTTCTATATAGGAAAACAGATCAGTGAGCATTTCCTTATGCCACACGGATCTCAAGCGTTTGCCGATCACAGATGACGCTCAGGCAGGCGTGAAACGCAAACATAAGTGATTTTTTTTGCTTGTGAGAATCAGGTTAGCCTACGGTCATGATGCTACGCTATCGTAAAGAAGTTCTGAAAGTTGCTGCGCTGCCGATGTTCTGTTTCTGAGAGAGCGAGTATGTATGGCAAAATGAATCGCTTGCGTAAATTATTTGCTTGCGTAATCTTATAATGCATGTGTGTGTGAGAGAGAACATATAAAATTGTTTCTTAACTCATCTCAGTCGTCCTTCACAGCGTAGCTTTTCTTGCTCGACGTGATCAGTCCAGAAGCAATACCCTAAACCCTAAACCCTAAAAATTCTAAACCCTAAACCCTAAACCCTAAACCCTAAACCCTAAATAAACCTTAAATCCTAAACCCTAAATCGTTGGTGTTTGGGAGTTTACAAAGAAATGAGCCAACCTGGCATGCAAAGTTTTCCAAAGCACTTACGCGCACCTTCCCAACTGCTTAGAGTCGCTGGGACATGGTCAGAGCATCCCACCCGTCCCTTCAGGCAGAGCTCGAACCCTAAACCCTAAACCCTAAACCCTAAACCCTAAACCCTAAACCCTAAACCCTAAACCCTAAACCCAGCAATCTCGAGTATAGAGCTCTCGAAATAAGGTGCTCTGACTGTGGCTCAGTGAGTTTTTGTTTGGGGTTCAGGGTTCAGTTCGCTTCAAAGAAGCACTCTTCGCCGCTCTCCGCACGGCCCGGCAGTTTTCGTGATCGTAAAAAGAACCGGGGTTTTCAAAAGTAAACCCTAAACCCGAAACCTGAAACCCGAATCCCTGAACCCTAACATAGGGTTTGTAGGGCTTATAGGGTTGCAGGGTTTATAGGGTTTACAGGGTTTATGGGGTTTACAGGGTTTATGGGGTTTAGGGTTTCGGGTTTAGGGTTTAGGGTTTAGGGTTTAGGGCTCACAGCCATGTACCCTGATTGGACCCGGAATCCTGAATCTCAGACCCCGCTGCAGGCCTTTGAAGGCCTTTGGGGTTTGGGGTTTAGGGATTAGGTTTACCCTCTAATCTGACTCCTTATCGAAGACTCAGAGCAGGCCCCTGTCCCCTTGTGTTAGGGGTCGGTTTCCCCTATAAACCCCCTGTGAACAAATCATGCTACCCTTTTGGCTCCCAGTTTTTACATCCCAAACCCCACAATCCTAACATCCTACTCCCCCAGCCCTGGACCCCTTAAGCCGTTCAGGCGAGTCCAGAATCTCATGCCTAGTCTGCAGCCAAACGCTGAGAGATGCTACAGACCTAAACCCTAAACCCTAAACCCTAAACCCTAAACCCTAAACCCTAAACCCTAAACCCTAAACCCTAAGCCAGGTTCTTCCGGAAGAGGCCATGCGCAGCCTGCAGAGAAGGACCGCCAGGACATGCGCCGGACAGAAAATCGTGGGGCTGCGATGTGGATTTTGGTTTAGGGTTTAGGGTTTAGGGTATAGGGTTTAGGGTTTAGGGCTCAAGGTTAATTACGTTTTTGCCGCTTCGCCCGAAGCACTTATTTTCGAAACCATTCCTTGACCCTGAGATTTGTGCAGCCAGTTCCTGTTGTCTCGTGTACCTGGGGTGCCTTCACAGAAGCAGGCCGTTATCTTGAGGTTAGGGCTGCCAGTACCGACCCCTCAACCCTGAATCCTGAAGTCCTAAACCCATTCAGAATCATGATGTGCCACAAAGGTGGCACGTTCTTTGATGCTCCTGCATGATTGGGTGTAGGCTTTTGGGCATACAAGTGTGTTGTGCGAGCAGTGCAGAATCTACATAAAGGGAATTGCCAAGACTAAGAAATTAGGGAAAGGGTGGATAAGTTTCCCTGCCGAGGTTTTCTTCTAAATCGGGGTTCCTATTATCCTTCGTCGCCTTCTGTTTATGGTACTCCCCCCCCCTCCCATTTCTGAACAGAGAAGTGACACCCGCTGATTTTAGCACAGGCAAGCGGCCCCTTATGTCTTTCACAGTCGTTGAGCTTTGTCCGCGAGCCCATGCAACTTGTTTGTGGTGTACTAGAATTTCTAGAATCGTATAGTATAATCCCAAAAGTTATACGGCAGTAAGACGTGTCCCAGCTTCTGATCCCATGGAACCATCGGCACATCCTCACCGTGGTTGTGCAATCTCAAGCTAAGCGTTGGAGAGGTTTAGGGTTTAGGGTTTAGGGTTTCGGGTTTTAGGGTTTAGGGTTTAGGGTTTAGGGTTTAGGGTTTAAGGTCATGTCGCATGGTGGACTTGTTTGCGCCGCAGTCTCGGATGAGGATGTGGGAGCCAGCTAGAGGCCTGGTATGTGCAAAGCTGTCAACGTGAGTGCCCCGAGCATGAACACAGGCAGGTCTGTCAGACTTTCAGTAAGATTTTCAAGTCCCTGCAAACCTAGAGTGCTGGGGTTTGGGCTCTAGGGTCTTGAGGGTTTCGGGCCTTAGGGTGTAGGGTTTAGGGTTTAGGGTTTAGGGTTTAGGGTTTAGGGTTTAGGGTTTAGGGCTAGCGTTTAGGGTTTAAGGTTTATAGGAAACATTTCTCCAATGGGTCTCGCAATCTCCGGCTTCGAGCGGGCCGCGTGCTTCAGCGGGCACCGGCCTCGGCTTTATGGCTGCGGGGGCTGTGGGCTTTTCCCGGTTCAGGGTTCAGGGTTCAGGGTTTAGGGTTTAGGGTTTAGGGTCTAGGGTTTAGGGTTTCTGTGCGCTCCAGCTTCGTGGGATGGGCAGGCCAGGGGTTTTAAGAAGGACGCCCCTTATGCCCCAAACTCCCTCAACTCCCTTAGCCCTAAACCTTAAACCCTAAACCCTAAACCCTAAAACTAGGGGATCCGAAATCCGAAGTATGGACCCTTAATTTGTGTCGGATCCCTTTAAATCCCGTTACACAAGGGTCAGGGGCATACTAAGGGCCCATGGTTCCAACCTTAGATAAACTCCTAAACCCCCCTTAAGCCTAAACACCGAACCCCGAAACCATGCTAAGCATCCGAACTATACACCCTAAGCCCTAAACCCGAAACCCTAAACCCTATGAACCCTAACCCTAAACCCCAAACCCCAAACCCTAAACCCTAAACCCTAAACCCTAAACCCTAAACCCTAAACCCTAAACCCTGAACCCTGAACCCTGAACCCTGAACCCTGAACCCTGAACCCTGAACCCTGAACCCTGAACCCTGAACCTTAGACCAAGGCCATTGGGCCACAGGCCCGCGTCCAGCACCGCGGGGCCGAGCCAGCAGAAGGTGCAGGGGATGTGCAGGGGATGCGCTTACGGGGGTTTAGGGGTTCAGGGGTTTAGGGATTTAGGGGTTTAGGGGTTATAAGGGTTTTGGGGTTTTGGGGTTTAGGGGTTTAGGGGTTTAGGGGTTTAGGGGTTTAGGGGTTTAGGGGTTTAGGGGTTTAGGGGTTGAGGGTTAGGGGTTTAGGGGTTTAGGGGTTTTGGGGTTGAGGGGTTTAGGGTTTACGAGCCAAACCTATCCCTATTCCCCAAATCCAAATCTCAAAC